CAACTTGCAAAGGATTTCCTTACATCTTACGTATTATGTCTTTCATCGATACTTATTCTATTTATTTACAATGCGTATTTACGTATTCTGCTAAACGCATTTTTTTGTACTATATGTTTGAAGCAAATGTAAACTTATCTTATATTGTGATCAAACTTTGCATAACATATATTTTTTGAATAAATATATAAAGTAATCTGTCGAATGAATAGTCAAAATTACTTAAAAAAACACATTTAATAGTATGTTAATCCTATTGTTATTTTTAAAAAAATCATTAATAATGGATTTAATATTATTTATCATATTGAATGAAGATCTTAATCTAAATCAAATTTAATTTAAATTAAACTAAACTAAATAAATAAATAAAAATTTTTCATTTATTTATCCTTTTATTCAATGTTCTAATGATTATTTTCTACGTACATTACTTTATAATTCTTATGACTATCTGCTATATATACTTTATTAATATCATAGATATTAATAAAGATGAAATATTTCACGGAAATACTGTACACATTGCAGTATTATATTATATACAAGTTCTAAAGATCTAATTATTTAATCATTTTTAACGTTTACGTAGCGACCAATAAAAATTCATTATCTTTATGAACGTATATACTATTTGATAAAAGATTGTCTTGTTTAATACAGATTAAGTTGGCAATGGTATTTTATCTAAACATAGGGATGTCCCGTATTACTTGCATTATCAGTAGTTTTCTTAGTTGGAATATGTGATTTCCTTGTTGTTTCAATTTATATAATATGTTTTATAACTGACGATATTGTTATTGATTCGTTTTAATACATAGTACAAAAAGAAATATTTTACAAAATTTTAGAAGTGTTATTTTGTTATTAATATTATTCGTAGGTTAAATCAAGATAAATTATATATTATACTTCATCAGTTATATGTTATTAATATGTTAATGAACTATACGGTGAATATATAACAGGATATATCATCTATACATATATACAAATATTGAGACATATATATATTTACCATATAAGTAAATAACTAAATATATTAGATTTTTTACTATCAAAAAGTTGCATAATATGGATAATAAACAATTAACAGAATGCATAAGAGAATTTAAATTACGGCAACAGTATCCAAGCATAGCTCCGAAACAAAAAAATAAAAATCTACCAAAAGTAAGGGTAGAAACAAAGACATGTTTACAATCATCACCTAGAAATACAGAATGTACGTTACCCATCAATGTACAAAAAAAAGATGGATTTCATAAATTACGGCTAAAATTACCAAGTGGTAAAGATTTAGGAGAATTTAATGTACAAATGTTGTCTTTTAATAACAACATTGTAAAAAGTAAGACACTTATAAATCAAAATAAATGTAAAAATTTAAATAAATCTATTATATTATCAAATATAATGTTAAAAGATAAAGAAAACAAGTTGGTAACTATTGTACCCCTTCGATGTACGAATGTTAACAAAAATATTAATATATCAAAGTTAGATAATACAGTTTCTCCTAAAAAGGACAATAGTAATATCGATGAAAAATGCCAAGGTAAAACTGTTTTTTTAAAACATATTGTCACTACTGATGAAAATCATAAAGAAGGACAAAATAAAAATACTACAAATATGGATATAGATATTATTACAAATAATGAATGTTATAAGAATGAAGAATCCGAATGTAATCAGATTACAAAAACAAAGTCAAAAGATGTTTTTTTAGATAAAAGTGCATTAGAAAATATTAAAAAATTAGGAAATACAGATTCCTTGTCGGAATTATCAGAACATGTATTAATTTCTGAATCTGAAAATGTTATTGATACATTTTCAAATCAATCTGTGAATATGTCTAATAATATAATTAAAATAGTAAACAAAAATTCTGATTTAGGTTATTCTATATTTGATGATAATGTATTATTTAATAATACAAAAAAAGAACTATATTTATTATCAATGAATAATGAAGATATAGATACATCCTTTGAGGAAACTCCAAATACTACGTACAATAAAAAGAAGATTAAAAATATTTCTGACCATCAAAATATGATTGAACAAAACATAACTGTACATGATAATGGAATATCATTATCAAATAACTACATTACAATAAAGGATAATTATGATGCAAAACATAATAATGATAATGAATATAATGTTTCTCTAAGATATAATAATGATAGTATTCCTGTTGTCATAGCAAAAAATGGTCATAAACATTTTAAATCCCAAAATGTCAACAATCATTCAATAAAAAATCATTTTGATGATAATATACCATTACAAAAATCATTATCTTCTAGTTGGAGTACTCTTAAAGATATAGTGACTATAAAAGATGAACAAATGAGAATTAAAGCATTCAAAGCCCTTGCAGATTGTATTGTAATAAATCAACAGATTTCTTCACATTTACCAACAGATTTAAAAACAGTATGTGACATTAAAGTACAAACAAATAATTCATTATTTGAACCAAAGAATTTTACTAGTAAAAAGGAAAATACATTTGGTATCCCCAAAAAAAAATTAAAAGAATCATATCCTGCAAACACAATAGAAAATTCAAATACGAATCTATTGAATGATATGAATGAAAATTCAGTTTTTTCACTTTTCAATCAATCACAAGAGTCTAATATATATCTTGAAAAATTTACTGATGATGTGTGTAATAAAAATAGTGGTGCCAATAGAGTTAAACAAATTCTATTACAAGCAAATCCATTTTATAACAAAATCTTTAAACAACTACAAAGAGACTTTGAAACTGCTGCACAATGGGATGAAAACGGAATGTTAAATATACATAGAGCTGTTATTAGTAATAGAATTTATGATGTTCAAAGACATTTAATGGTACTTGAAGCTTGTAATATAAATATAGACATACTTTCAGAGTCACACGAGGTAAATTTTTTGCAATTTTTTTGTAATATTAATAATACTTGCATGTAAATTACTTATTGATAATAATTTATGAATTTTTATAAAAGATTTATAAAAGAAATTATATAGTAAACAATTTTACACATTTATTTGCAGACAAGTTTAGAATTGGCAGTTAAGCATAATGTATCTATCGAAATTGTCAAGTTACTATTAAAAGCTGGTGCAAATCCAGTATCATTAAAACCAATACATGAGACAGCTTTGATAATAGCCAGTAAAACAAATTCTTTATTATTACCTGAACTTGTAAAACATGTTCCATGTATTAAACTACTAAATAATATGGATTCTACAGGTAAATAATTAATAGTATATAAATTAGCCCTGAAAAATCTAATTATACAGGAATGGATTTTATTATATATTTTTATTTTAATTAAATCGTATATATTTTTTTACTTTTTAGGTTTTGCTCCATTACATTACTGTGCTCTATATGGTAACTTAAAAGGAGTTATCTCATTAATAAATATGGGTGCTAATGTAAATTTAAGAGAAAACAGATCTGGCAGAACTTCGCTTTTTTTGGCAATAGAAAACAAGCATTCTGCAATAGCACAAAAACTTATTGAAAAAGGAGCATCAATAAATATCCCTAATTTTTCTGGACAAACAATTATTTCATTACCAACTTAAATCGATCTTCTGTATCTAAGAACACTATTATTTAATTATAAATAAATATAATCATAAATAATTTTCTAATAAACATATCTAGATACATATTAAATATATGTATAGATTTATTATGTGATAACAATAGAGCTATACTTTTGGTCAGATAATTCCTATGTCTAAGTTGTATCTGAAATTAATAATAATTCTGTGCATTTCTAAATCAATTTTTTGCAGTTATAATAATATGGATACCTTGTTGGTCGAAATTATTTTCGTTTGCGTAATAAGTATTGTATATTTAATCAGTTTCTACTTAAGAATTCTACTCCTACAGATTAAGGATTTTTTGTTTATATTTCAGATACACCGTACATAAGAATGTATACACTTTAATAAGATAGTATGTGTAGAATTCACATTCTAGGCAAATTGTAAAAATCCCTTGCCAAGAAAATCTTAGAGAGATTAAAATGTATATCTCTCGTTCCCCTGCTGTTTGTCTATATCTGAAAAAAAATCGTCTAAAAAAATCAGACTTTGAAAACAATTTCAATCAGATACTCTCATATCTTTTATATGGACGAAATCAAAGTCTGAAATTAAAAGTTTATTATTTAGTGAAATAAGTGTTATTTAAATTCAAGGGTATCTCAAATATCAGCATACTCGGCAGACATAAAACGAGACATTTCGGACCAAATCGACTGACCTCTGCTATTTATTTAACACTGATGTTTATCAGAATATTTAAAATAATAAATTGTAGATGCCCTTTACGTAAGCGATAAATGTTTTAACAGTTTCAATCCTAAATATTATCTAAGGTCAACTAAGCATAGGAATTGTAAAAATTTTTTGCCAAGAATAGCAAAAAAAAATATCAGAATGTAAAAGAAAAAATTAAGATGGCAAATTATTCTAACAGATATTTATAGAAGCAATGGTAAAGTTTGACTTTGATAATAATAATTCTATGTTATCTGTAACAAAATTATTATATATTATATTATTAATTACTAGTTTTCTTATATGTTTTTCTCTTTCAAAAAGAGACAAATTGTAAATATAATGATGAATTATTATTATTATACACAGATATTTATTTGTAATTAAAATTTTATTGATGGTTTACATCAATAATATTGTATACTATAAAGTAGTATTGTTTTTTACAATAATTTGTCTTTTTGTGGATGTTTAATTACTTTAAATAATGGCAACGATATCGTATATAATTAAGTTGCACTTGATAAGGAAGGTCAAACATTTTTGATAGCTTGTGTTATTTTCTAAGAAATATGCTGAGTTGGTTTACAGAACTTATAATCCCACTTTTTTATTATTTTCTTTTAGTCGATTTTTTTTCAAGTTTTTTTTACTGGTGTTACATTGCGCATCATAATGTTAAACGTACTGTGTCTCGTCTATCAATAAAGGATTCTTATGTGTTCATTATTCATTTCTATTAAAACACCTGAAAACATTGGAAGAGTAAACATACTTAAATAGAAACAATTAGATAACAATAGTAGTATCATTATTTATTCTTTGACTGTAAGTTTGCACAATTTTCTTATGTAATATAATTTATTTCTGAAATCGAACATTATGTTAACAATATGAAACGAACGTTAAAAATATGAACATATATAACATAGAAACGGAAACTTACATTGTATGATTGCTTATCATATCTAACTGTTATCATTTAATTTTTATTATGATAATTAATCAGTGTAAAATTATAGTTTTCTTCGTAAAGCTGATTTTAATAATTGTTCGTCATAAAGGACAATAGCAGTATAAAATTAATGTGCCAAAAGATCTATAAAGGCAATAAAATGATTTCATCAAAGCTGTCGATTATTTTGACATTTTTGGGATTAACAAGTATGGTTCATACGGAAGGAATTGCACCCAAAGTTAAAACACCTTTAGGAGGTATTCAAGGGTATTATAAAATATCTGCAGATGGTAGATCCTATGAAGCTTATGAAGGAATTCCTTATGCTATACCTCCTGTTGGAAAGTTAAGATTTAAGGTAAAAGTACAAAATCTTTTAAAGAATATTTCTTTCAACTTATAAAATCAATTTTTTCCTGTTTATGATTGTATTTTAAATAGTTAAGATTCTAATGTTTTCTTAAGTTCAGTTTAAACATTAATGTCCTCTTTTATACTATTTATAATTATTTACCATTCATGCATTTATTTATAATTTTGAATTGACCATTTTTTTTTGTTTTGATTTATAGCCTCCACAAAAGATCCCAGCATGGCCTGGTGAACTTTTAGCAACTAAATTTGGCTCTCCGTGTTTACAATATATTCAAATAATTACTGAATCTGAAGATAGAATTCAAGGCTCAGAAGATTGTCTTTATTTAAATGTTTATGTCCCTACACGTGAACATAATTCTCAATTACCATTATTACCAGTAATTTTCTGGATTCATGGTGGGGCCTTTCAATTTGGTAGCGGAATGTATATGGGTTCTAAATTTTTAATGGATCGAGATGTTATATTTGTCACAATAAATTATCGTTTAGGCCTGTTAGGTATGTTCGATAAAAAATTCAACATCTCCACAGATTATTTATTATTTAGTTCCACTATAGTGTTTCTACATAATAAATATTGTCTACAGGTTTTCTAAGCACAGAAGATGATGTTTTACCAGGTAATATGGGACTTAAGGATCAAAATATGGCATTGAAATGGGTTTTTGAAAACATTGAATGGTTTGGAGGTGATTCTAATAAAATAACACTAATAGGTCTAAGTGCTGGTGGTGCCAGTGTACATTATCATTATTTATCTCGTTTAAGCTCTGGTCTTTTTCAAGGTATTTATATGTTTAACCAATACTAGATTTTTTTCTTTTTCTATCCTGTACATATTTATATAATATATATTTGTTTTATATAAATCTTTTTAATACATAGGAGGTATATCTATTAGTGGTACGGCATTTGATTGTTGGACACAAACTGAAAATTCCTTAGAAAAAGCCAAGAAATTAGGTGCTATAATGGGTTGTCCTACTAATAATACTCGAGATATGGTACATTGTTTAAGATATCGACCAGGTAAAACTCTGGTCCATGCAACCAGAGAATTCCAAGTAAGTATCATTTTTCTATAATAAATAATACAATTTGATAAAATTACTTTCGAATGATGTAAATTTTTCTTGATAGCCATGGCTTTACAATCCCTTTACACCATTTGGACCTGTTGTTGAGAAACATGGAGATTCTCCTTTTATTGATCAATCACCAATAGATATTATTCAAAGCGGTAATGTTCAAGATATTCCATGGATTACAAGTATTACCAGTGAAGAAGGACTTTATCCTGTAGCTGGTGGGTTTAAATATTTGGAAGTTATATCAAAATCTACAAAATTGTTTATAAATAATATAATCAGTATATAAAATATACAGAATTTATTAGTGATGATAGACATCTTAAGGAACTTGATGAGAATTGGAATAGAATTGCACCTCATTTCCTTGATTTTAATTATACCATACCAAAAGAGAAACATGTTGAAACAGCTACACTTATTAGAAACCATTACTTTGATTCTAAACATATTAATAAAACGACTATTAAATCTTTAATACAAATGGCTGGAGATCGATTTTTCGTATTCGATAGCATAAAAGCTGCAAGGATCCAGGCAAAAGTAAATAAACAACCTGTTTGGTACTATTATTTCACATACAGAGGAGCACATAGTTTAAGCGAAGCTATGAGTGGAAGCAAAGAAAATTTTGGTAAGAAAAACAAAAAACCGATTTTTGATAGTAAAAGTTTTCTCCTATGATATGTCATTTACGTTATTTATATTTTTCTTATAGGAGTTAGTCATGCTGATGATGCATTCCTTGTTTTGGACACTCCTTACTTTAATCCAGTGACGACAAGAGATGATATTGATATGCAACAAGAATTAATTAATCTTTGGGTTTCTTTTGCCATAAATAAGTGAGTAGTTTCTGTTCACAAAAAAATTACAATTCATATAGACAAAGAAGAGTAAGAACAATATTCTATAGTTGAAAAATTATTATTCAACAAGTAAAAGATAATAATTTGTTTATTGATTCAATATTTTGAAATGCATGGCCTCTTTTCCTCTCATTGAATTTAACATCAAATATTTTCAGTATTCCTCAAATTGGTATCACTGAATGGACTGCAGTGGATCCATCACAAAAAGAATTTCGTTTTCTTCACATTGCAGGACCAGGAAAATATTATATGAGTAATGATGCTAATTTAAAAAATCAGGACTTCTGGAATAATATCAATTTTAATGAAAATATGCCAAAACGTAAAAAACACTTAAAAGAAGATCTTTAAATCATTTTCTAATTTTTTTTCATGTTTATATAATATAGAGCTGAACATATCTTCTGTCAGAAGAAAAGTACTTAGCCTAGTATCTCCAAAAGTATAGTTTTAATAGTCATAACGTAAATATTAGAAATATTATGGGAGTAAACATTTTTTAGTGAGAACTAAAAAAATAAATAATTAACACTGTATGTTAATTTTATTTATTTTAAACTAATTTAAATTAATTATCTCTGATGTGAAGCATGCTATTATATTTTCAAAAAAAGGAGTAAGAATGAAGATAAATATATATTTCTATATCTATCTTATGAAATTGTTATAAAAATGATATATATCATGTGAAAGATATTGCTTTTATAGAAGCTGTGTAAATATATTAAATAAAAATAATTAAAATTAAATAGTTCTTTCAACAAGGGTACTGTTAGATTTTATAAATGACTTGAATAATTTTTATCCCCTTTATTAATTGTATCCAAACAAAAATATTTAACGACAATACTTTATTATTTATTTAATCATTTACTTGAATATTCCATGTTTTCTTACATATTTAACAATTCAAATAAATTGACATGAAATTTATACATAAAAAGGTATGCTGAAATATATGTCATATTTATTGAAAAATCTAAGTAACATTACTAAATATCTTCAAATCAAAAGTTTTGTTAAAAAAGATCTATTGATGTGCAATATACATAATTATCTTGTGTATACTATTTTGTGATATATCATCTTAAAGACTTTCAAAAACCTAATATTTATTTTGGTTTTGTAACTCATTATAATATGTATATATACCAGAAATAAATATTAATACGTAACTCAATATGAAGTGCAAAATACATTCCAATGTTATTTATCTTTTGGCAGTTACAGTCCTTTAGCTAGAATAGTAATAATAATAATTAATATTACAAATAATATCGATCAACAGATTTTATGCCGTTACTTTGCATTATCACTGTTTGCTCTTATAATGCAGTATGAATTTGAAATTAGTATGTATTTGAATTTTTCTTATGATTTAAAAATAGTTAAGTAATATGTTTTATTATTGTAATGATGATAAATTCTTGCAAGTAGAATAATAAATCTTTGGTTATACAGTTCGAGAGCACAAATAGCTCATATAGAATGCTGTTAAGAGCACCATGGCATGTATCCGTGTAAGATGTATTTTTTTCTACATGCAATTAAATAGAACCTTCAATTTCTATTCAACCAAGAAATTGCTTTCAATATGAAATATGCTAAAGTTAGTGTATACAAAATCTTATCTCTTTGTTGCCGTTGTAACATTTCCAATTCAATTGCCATGACTCGACGATTTAATTTTCCCACTTGACGGCGTAAGTGTTGTACTTCTTCATTAGGTGGAAGAGATACATCTACTGAACTGTAAGATGTTGTTTGTTCTCTGAAATATATAGTAAAGACATATGTACATTGTGGAACATAAAAATATAATTCTATATAGGCATTCACTTGTTTTTTTTTAATTTGTAGTCATATCTTCAATTTATTTATATAAAAATTGTGTATACCTTCCACGCCTAACAATCTGTGTTTCTGTATTAAATTGGGGATGTATCCTAGATGAGTCTTTAACTTCAGTAGCAAGTAATGTTGGATCTTCTTCATCAACCGTAGGAAAATAATGATCATCCAGCGTTAAGATTCTTGGTGGTGTCTTAAATGGATAAAGAAATACGGATATATAATTTATATTAATTATTAATTTTTGCCTTTCATTATAGAAATTTCTTTTATATACCTGAACTCTAATAATATTTGGCTCAGGTGGCATTACAGCATTTTCTAGAGTAATTTCTCTTGGTGGAGCTTTTGTACCAATATGTTGCTCCTGACCTGTTTAAATAATAGAAATTAATATAAAGTAATATAATTATGTAAAAAAATATATGGAATTACTTACCTACAACAAGAATCCTATCAGGTACATGCATTTCAAGCTTCTCATTTGAGTTTGCTTGATTCCAAGCAGAACCATTCATTGATGAAATATCTTCATCTGTATAATCACCACTTACTCTAATACTTTTAGGAACTCTCATTCTCTTATTAACGTCCAAAGTAAAATTGGGATCATAAAAATTGTCAGCTTCTCCATTAAAACGAGCAGGTATATGAGTTTTTGACATTGTCACTGAAAAATAACTACATACAATCATATACAATTTCATAATATATAACATTTAATTAAGAAAAACATCATCACTTGTATTTATTCTGATAATATAAATAAATAAAATCTTTTGATAATAATAAAATAAAAGAAAGCTTTTTTATATAAATCTAATATTTTAATTAATTTCCATGCTTATGTAAATAAAGAAAAGAAATGATAAATAGTTTTAAGTACATATAAGGAAGTACAAAGCACAAAGCACAATGGTGTATTCTTAAATATATCATATCTAATATTTACGTCTTTTTTATTTTATTAAAATATTTTTTAAAGTTAATATCAACTTACATAATATGATACATCGCATACAGACATGAATATTAAAGGTTAAACACTTGCTTTATATGTTAAGTATATTTTTTCAATACGTAAATATATAACGAACGACATAACCTTTGATATGATAATCGACAAATTACTTGCGATTCGTATAACAATAAAGGACAAAGATGCAAATTTATTTTCATTCACATCGACGGGGAAAACTAGCAGGAAATGTAATAAATCATAGTTGAATCATAGTCAAATTAATATATATAAAGTGTAAGTATCAAATATAAAAGTTACCTTCCTCACCCTTCTGGATCGTTAAATATAAAACGTTCAAATGAAGTCAGTTGCAAGCCATTTTCGATAATATTCATTTGCGATTTATCGAAATCGATGTGTATAATCGTCGGACATACCGCGAAAAGTGCGTATTCTTAGTTTAATTCTATAATCCGTTTATATGAAACTATACAAAACTTTAATAGGATTTCTGTTATTTTTACGACAGTGTTTAATTTTCCTGAATTAATAGATTAATAGTTCAATTAAAATTAAATACTTAAATTATTTAATAAATTTGTCGAAATAAGTGAAAATTATTATAAAAATATAGTAAACTGACGAATAAACTATTATATGTATTTTTATTCTGAATAGATTCTCCAAGTTTTTATTTCATGATATTTATAATTACATATTCTGTATAGATATCTTGTGTATATGTTTAATGCAATAAGAAGAAAATTTAAAAAACAATTATGATTGGAAAATAAATAAATGTATAAATTTTTCCAAGAACAGAATTATGCAATTATTATTTTTCAAAGATATTTTTGAAGTAACTGGAAAATAAAATACTTTTAGTATAATGGAAAAACAAGAAAAAATATCGAAATCTAAAAAAGATATTTTGGTTATAGATCTAACAACTGATGATGATAAACATGTACAAGCATCAACAACCTCTTGTATTTCACAAACCAAAAAAAGAAAAATTTATAAAAATAAACGATGTCTAAAGGAAATTAAATATAAACGTAAATATACTACGCTTCAAGATGTAATAAAGAAAGTTACAGTAAAAACAACTTCTAAGCCCATTTCTGAAATTATTCCAAACGCGAATGATACTGTTATAATTATAGACTCAAGCACTGATAATATTGATGTAGAAGATCCAGTGCCTAGAACATCAGTAGAAGAAAATGCTAAGAAAGAGATAACTTCTGTGATTCCAGCTATAAATTTGTATGTCAAAAATACTACTCTTTTACATTCTAAACATAATATAGATAAAAAAGAAATTAGTTCTATAACTCAAACTATAAATATGCATGGTGAAGATATTACTGTATTACATTCTAAATATAATACAGATAAGAAAGAAATAGCTCCTAAAACTCCAACTATAAATAATTCTGAAGAAAAAGAAATAAATTCTGTAACTGAAACTATAAATTTGCATAGTGAAGATATTACTGTATTACATTCTAAATGTAATATAGATAAAAAAGAAATAATTCCTACAACTCCAAATATAAATGTGAATCTTAATGATATCGCTGTATTAGATTCTAAATGCAATACAGATAAAAAAGAAAAAACTCCAACTGTATATAATTCTGAAGAAAAAGAAATAAGTTCTGTAACTCAAACAATAAATTTGGATGTTAAAGATATTGATGTATTACATTCTTGTTATGAAACAGATTTGTGTACTAGTTTTGAACAGATATCTGATAATATTATAGACGTTCTAAGTGAAGATTTTAGTCAATATTTCAAAGACGTAAGTATGTTTTTATATTATGTTGTATATAAAATGATAATATATAAAATTATAACTATTTTTAGCCATTTGACATATCTTTTAAAGAACCAAGTAAAAAAATTGAGAAAAGATTATCGAATACTAAAAGTATAAAGGATTTAAAAAATAAATGTCAGCCAATATTGAAAAATTCTAAAATGTTAAGGAAAGATTTTGTATCTTCCAGTCAATTAAATGCTAATAAGCTAGAAGTACAAATAGACGAAATTAAAGTCTCTTCGAACGATATAGATATTTCTCTTCTAATTACTAAAAATTCAAATGGAGAAACAGTTAGCCGTTTTTATTGGTGGGATGCATATGAAGATATATATAAACAACAGGGAATTGTTTATTTATTTGGAAAAGTTTATATTGATTCTATTAAAACATGCTATTCTTGTTGTCTGTCAATAAAAAATTTACCAAGGAGAATATATCTTCTACCAACAAAATATGTATGTAAAATGATAAAATTTTATTATAAATCAATTATTAAATATAATATATTTACATTTATATATTATAGTTTAGAGATTCATTTGATGACAATCCAAGATTAACTACTATGGAAGATGTATATAATGAATTCAATAAACTTGCAAATAAATTAGGTATAAAAGAATTTCAAAGTCGACGGGTTTGGAAAAAGTATGTTTTCAAAGAAGATGTACAAGATTATACAGAATATTTGGAAATTCTATATCCAGCAATATATCCAGCTATAGATTCAAATTACACTGGTCTTGCTATAGATAAAATTTTAGAAACTACTATATCGCCTCTACAATTATTACTTCTGGAAAGAAATATCAAAGGGCCATGTTGGTTAGAGATCAAATATCCTATAAAAGATCCATCTGACATCACTTGGTGCAAAGTAAAAGTATGTTTTTAATATATATAGCATAAAATAACTCACACAGAATATTTAATATATGCATAAATGTAAATTATATATAATTTTATAATTATTTATATTAATATATATTATTTTTAACATTTCAGCTGATTTGTACAAATATGAAGAATATTTCTGTTAGTGTTGATTCTCCAAAATTGCCATTGCCAACAATGTTAGTTGCTACATTAAATATTTGTACATGTCCAGATAGAGAAACTAAACATAATCAAATATTCATGGTTGTTATTCTTTTACAAAATGAATACCAGATTGTCAAAGATGTACCAAAGCCACCTTTTAAACAAAGTTTTTGCTGTACGTTTATTTATTAAAATGTACATATATACAATATATGTTTATTATATAATTTAACTAAGAAATGTTTTTATATCTTCTATCAGTGATAACTAATCCAAATGATGCTCTATGGCCAAGTGAAGCAGATCAGCTGTTGTCTAATATTTCAAATACACATGTAATAAGATGTGAAAATGAAAGTATCTTACTGGAACAATTACTTCGAATAATAGAAAAAACTGATCCAGATTTATATGTATGCTATGATTGTAGTTATCAATTTGAATCATTATTACATAGAATGTTTATTTTGAATATAGAAAATTGGAGTAAACTTGGAAAAATAAAACATTCTACATATCCTGTTACTAAGGTAAATATTATAATTTATGTTTACTAGAATAAAGTAGAGAAAAAATTCATATAGTATATTCTTCATTTATTTAAAATAATATTTGAATTTTTGGATAATAATTAATTAATTTCAATTAATAATTAGGTAGTAATGTAAGTAAGTATATAACATTATTTTTTTTTAGCAAAAAACATTCATAGATCGAGCAATATCTGGCCGTCCTATATGTGATATAAAAATTGTAGCTAAAGAGTTAAAAGTAAAAAGCGGAAGTTTTGATTTACAATCTCTTTGTACAACAGTAGGTATCGAAAATATTTTTACGCGATTATAAAAATATTGCTCAATTCAAATTTATTTGAAATTTTTTATTATAGGTATTAAATAAGAAAAATAATAAATCCAAGGAAATAAAACCCGAGGATTATTTTTTATACTACACTATAGAGAAAGGGTTAGAAGATCTAATCAAATTCACATTTGCAGACGCATCGGATATTTTATCTATAACACTGCAACTTAATATGATTCCATTTGCAATAGAACTTACATGTATATCTGGTAAATATAATAAATTGTATGTATATAAACAAATATCTATATATAAAAGATATTAAAATTATAAATGTGATTTTACTTAGGTAATATTTTATCAAAGATATTAGCAGGAGGCCAAATGGAAAGAAATGAATTTCTTTTATTACATGCTTTTCAGGCAAACGATTATATATTACCAGATTCTTCAAAAATAAACAAAAACATAGAAAGTGGTGAGTTCATCGATAAAGAATTTGTTCATACTCTAATTATATTTTGTAATCATTTAGTTTTATATTCTAATATGAATATAAATCACTGAATACAGAGATATCTGGAAAAAAAATATCAACTCATGAAGGTGGTTTAGTTCTTACTCCAATAAAAGGATTTTATACTACATTGATCTTATTAATGGATTATATCTCTTTATATCCTAGTATAATAATAGAATACAATCTATGCTTCAGTACAATATCTGGAGCAGCATACACTGATTATAAGGTAAAATTTATGAATTCGCTGGTTTTATAGTGATGTGCGTTAAGCATTTAAAATTATATTGTATTAAATGCCTAATTAAAATAATATTTAATATATAATTTGAATTAATATGTACAGGATTTAAAAATCCCAGAATCAAATTCAGAACTTGGAGTTATTCCAAAAGAGATACGTAGACTAATTGAATATAGAAAACAAATAAAAAAATTAATAACATTGTCAGATATTTCACCCATTCAAAAAATGCAATATAATGCAAAGCAAATAGCCTTAAAGCTTATGGCGAACAGTATATATGGTTGTTTAGGTTCACCACATTCCAGATTTTATGCCAAAGGATTAGCTGCTTTAATTACATGTTTGTTAAAATAATAAATTATTATTTAAACAATGTGTGTTTGACAAAGTGAAAAAAATATATATAATTCTTTTTTAGCAAAAGGTAGAGAAATACTATTAAATACAAAACATTTAATTGAAAATATGAAATATGAGATCATTTATGGTGATACTGATTCTATCATGATCAAAACTAATCTTCTTGAGTATAATGAAGTTATTTCTATTGGAAATAAGGTAATTTTATAAAAATATACATAAATCAGTGTAATTTATTTTTAATATATTTATAATTTGATATTATTTAAAAAGAAAATTTTTCTGATTATATTTATAAAATAGATCAAAGGAGAAGTAAACAAATTTTATAGAAATATAGTAATAGATATTGATAGTGTATTTCAATATTTATTACTTCTTCAAAAAAAGAAATATGCAGCACTTGCAATGAAAAAATTATCAAATGGTCAAATAGAATTATCGCAAATACATAAAGGTATAGAAACAATACGGAAAGATTGGTGTCCAGTATCTGTAGAAGTTGGAAAGTATGTGTACATATAAATCCTCATAATAATTCATAAAACTAATTTTTAAAACAGTTATAATGTCAAATACTTTTCAGAGATATACTGAACAATATTTTTTCTAATCGACCACATGATATGAAAATAAAAGCAATTTATGAACTATTGCAAAATGTTTCAAAAACCATTAAAGAGGATCAGATACCTTTATCGTCGTTCATAATATCTAAAGAACTTTCTAAAAATCTTAATAATTATCATGATAAGGGACACCCACATATACAGGTAGCCACAAGATTATACAAAAGATATGGTAAAATATGGAAAGCTGGAGATATTATATCTTATGTGATATGCCAGGTTTATTCTTTGTTTATTATTTCTAAATTATATATTCAATTAATTATAAGTTTGTAATTAATGTTAATTATTATAGAGTGAAACTGATAAATCCATTACAAACAAATCATACCATATAAATGAATTTAAAGAAAATAAGTCCCTAAGGATTGATATTAATTATTATTTAAAGAAACAGATATTACCTATTGCATTAAGAATTTGTGAACCAATTGCAGAAGTAGATAAGATATTGTTAGCTAAAAGTTTAGGTACTCTAATGATATTTTAAATACTATGTAGAATTCTGGAATTTACTGTTAGAAAGAATACGGGTCCAGTAGAACGTTCAAATTTTTTGCTTTAAGTGACTTCATATGACACGTTCTTTCCTTATTGGAAAAAAAGATCAAATTTATTAATCCGATACGTAACAAGGAGAGAAAAGTGTTAAATATTATTTATTAATCGTAATACCCACCTATGCCGATCCGGAGATAAATTCCTGAGTTCTACATAGTATAATATATTTTTCAAATCATCAAGATAATTAATTTTGATTTCTATTACTAAATAGGTTTGGATAATGCAAATGAACATAAAGGAATAGTATGTACATTAAATAATAATAAAAAGCAAATAATGATGACTACAGCCAGATTTAAGCATTGCAAAGCTTTAACATTCAAATGTATCAATGAAAATTGTCGAAGTGAAATTACAATTAAAAGTGTTATGTCAGAATCTGTGAGTAATTTTATTTTATTTTTTTTTTCTTTTTTTTTCTTTTTTATAAAAAATCATAAAAAAAATTATTTTTGCATTACATATGATTATAAAATGGTTATTTTAAAGTCATGTCTAAACTTAATAGATTTATATATTTTACATGTATATTGTTTATTGCAGTCTAATGGTTATCAACTATTTTTGAACACTATATGTTCTAATAATAATTGTAGAATTCCTTTATGGAAAAATATAAACGTTATATCTAATGAATTGGAACTTAATATAAGACAAGCCATAAATATGTATTATTCCAATGAGTTGAAATGTAAAAACCCTCTATGTTCTAATGTAACCAAAAGGCTTCCATTATATTTCTATACAATGTATCCCAAATGTGATAAATGTAATGAATCTTTTTTATGTAGAAGAGTGAGTATATATTAATTTCGTTATCATAAAAAATACTTTATAAATATAAAAGAAAGAAAATATAGGAACTTTGATCTGTTTGTTACAGTATACTGAAACGGATCTATATGATCAAATATGTTTTTATCATGAAATCTTTGATATTAATTGTTTGCAAAATAAATGTAAGTATATATAATTGTATAACTATTTTAAGTATTTCTTTTTTCTTTTCTTTTTTTTTTAAATTCGTTATTAATACCAAAGTCGATCTTATTATTCTAGTTTCGCTGGTTAACTATCCAGAGGAAATAATATCAGTATACAACACACTTAGGAATATTGTTAACAAGTATTTGAAATGTAGTTCATATTTAATTGTGAACTTTGATAAAGTTTTTCAAAGCAAATTTATAAAATATACAGTGCATGATTCAGATTATGATATTTCTTTAAATGATTATGCTCATATGGAGAATAAACAATTATAAATGTATTTTATTAATATATATATATATATGTTTGTTTAACTTGCGTATTTTGTAATTTATAAAATATCTTTTCAAAGCTTAAATATTTATTAAAAATCAAATTGAATCTTATAATAATATAACAAATGTTATTAATGATTGGTATATAATATAAAATATATTACAATATATATAGAGTTTGTGTGCACGCGACATCCTTATATGCGATAATCCTAAATACAAATAGGCCTCTATGGCTCAGCTCGATGTTCGTGTACATTAACTATTTAACTTGTTTTTTATAAAAAGCATTTAATATTATCAATTTCAAAAGATCATCTATGTTTAAAATAATACTTAGAAATTAATTTTAATAGACATATGAATCATGTAATACATGAATTGTACATATTGTTACGACATTGTGACTATTTTAATATAAATTGCTAAAAAACGATACAAGATATAACGTTAAAGAAGGTTCTATAAAGATGCCATTTAATTTTATTTACAAATATTGATACAACATACGAACTGACCACAGATAAAATTTTTTCTATGTGGTAGTGTACCTTATTATTAGGTTGTCGATTCAATACCTTGCATGAACATATTGCACAATGTATTGTTTGTTTTATAATTTCCTATAGACTTTCAATTTTTATTACACTTTTGTTGCTTATAAGAAGTGGGATGAATATATTTTCTTTTTTCACTAGAAAAAATTAATATATAATATATAACAAATGCTACTTAAACCTCTGATGAAATTAACAATCATGCTTTTCTATATCAATAAAATTATAACAAAGTTTTCTGTACACTGCTTGCTACATAATGTTTGCTTCAAACATTTTTTTTTTTTTTTTTTTTTTTTTTTTTTTTTAAATAACTTTGTTTTATATTGTAAGATTTTTTTTACAATTCATTTAACTTATCGTATTTTTTTTCTATATTGTCAGTTGTAATGATCATATAATTGTATACAGTAATAATTTATTAATGTGTACAATTATATTTTATAACTTTCATAAATACATTCATTTGCAGCAGTGATTGCACATAAGTAAATATAATAAATTTTTCTTTATCCCAATTCGTACATATATAGAATATACAATAACTGACTCCTCTCAGTTGTAAATAGCAAAATATATACATCATGAGTCATACTATCTTTTTTTATAATATAATTTAATTAAAAGAGTAAACTACAATTCTCTGCAAGCAATTAATAAAATCTAATAAAATTATTTATATCTAATTATTTGGTTATTACCAAAATGTGATCTCTTAATTATTTTTATTTTCATGTAACATTATATCTGGATATTTTGGAAAGTCAACAGCATCAACAGGATTTTTTACTTTAAAACTAGGAAATAGTCCTGTCATACTAGTTCTGGTGTTATACCCTTTGGAATAACCATCCCAATGGTTTCCGTAAACTTCAATTAAATCACCGGTCTTCAATTCCAATTCGCCATTCTTTCTTGGTTTATGATCCAAAATAGCTACATGAGGATGTGAATTTTGTCCACCGTAATAGTAAATATCATCCAATGATGCAAACTTATTGTATGCATCTGGGTAATAAGTTTGCATTAATTCATATGCAACTCTACATACTTGTGAACTAAATGTACACACTAGATAATCACATAAGGATAAAAGATGTATATCTATAATTATTCCTTGTAAAGATGAATCTGAATAACGTTTTGATACTGATGCTGTCTCAGCTATTTCTGGATCACCAATAATTTTATAATTAGGATAGCGATTTCTTGCTGTTGTAATTACTTTTGGGTCATCACTAGCCAAAAATACTCGTTTTACATCTGGCTTTGTCTCGAGTTCATCAAAATATTGATCTACCTTAGTCATATATTCATCTATATCATGATATGCTGCTTCAGTACCGACTTTATCGGTTCTACGAACATGAACGCCAACAATAGGTTTTTTGAAACCTAATTTTTCCTTAGCATTATCTAATACTTTTTGCATACTATCCTGAGGCCGCATCAAGTATTTTAACACCTGTCCAACCCACCAAACTAATGGATGGCCATGAAGCTTCTTCAACCTTTCTGCTATATCTGCTGGTACACTGGGAGGTTGAAATTTTGGTTTAGGATAAACATTATCCACGATTGGCAAGGAAATAACTTGCTTAGAAGGATCACCAGGCCAATTAGCATGAGATACACCATTTGTAGATAAACATGTGTCACTAAGAGGTTTAAAAACTGATTCCCAACCTTCTTTACGATATCTCCAGCCTTTTGATTTGATTACAAGCGTTCGTTCCGTTCCATAAGCGACCAAAAAGCAATAAGTGATATGATGTATCTGTAATTAAATCGTTTGTCACATATATATTCAAATACTATGGTTTTACTTTGTTTTTTATCACAACTTACTTGGCAACCAAAACCACAGCCTTTATTTAAACTGCATATTAACTTCTTTGCTTTATTACAATCAGTAGGATTTTGTAGATACCTCCATAAAAAAAAATATATATTAAATGCATTATAGTTACATTAGAAATATTTGAAACAGTATTCTGCCTTACCTAAATCGACTTTGGACAAGATCCGATAATTCTTTTGCCTCTTTTTTCCGCCAGTCATTATAACCATCAGCTTTTGTTAATCTATCTAAATCCATAATAAGAGACTTCTTATGTTCCCAAATGTTACTTACAGCATCTTGAACTTCTTTTTCTTTTTGTTCAAGAGTAAATTCATCTATGTGCTTTTTGAATTTTGTTAATTCAGCACTCATGTAATACCTATAAAGCAGTGAAGTAAAAAACATTATTACAACAATGTTAATCAATTAAATTAAATTTTTTTTCTCTTAAAAATAAAGTATATACCACATTTCCTGTACATTATTTCTTATTCTACGACGTAATTCTTCATATTCTAATGAAGGTATATTATGTTTAGATCCAACATGCTGATCTAATAGATCATAATAAATTGAAGCTCTATCGGCTCTTTCTTGAACAGAGCCTAAATGATCCCCTTGTATAGATTTTACTCCATCCCTAAAAATTATATTGATTTACATAATATAAAACTGTTATAATATAATATATGTATATATATATATATTTAATACATACCTTAATATAATATTTTTTAGACCGTCATTTTGCTTCTTAAGAATCTCAAAATCATTAATCATTTGTGCTAAACGTTGAGCATTTTCTTTATTCGTAGGATTTCCATCTTGTGACGATATCGAATTTGTTTTGAAGACATGTAGAACTGATATAATTAATATTAAAAGCCATGTAGCTAGCAAAGCTATTCCTAATTTCCCTAGCCATCCAGGTCTCCCTGACCAAAATGTTGCCATTCTAAATGATTGGAATGAAAATCTTCCATTTATTGCATTTCATCACATCTGTAATTATATTTAACTTGAATTATCTATCAAAATTAGAAATAATTATTATATTACATACATTTATATTATACCATTTTCATTATCAATTGATAATATTTACTATTTTTTTAAAAGAAAATTTTTATAAAAATACATGTCACACAAACAGAATTAAATATTTTCATTAATGTGTCTTCTACTCTGTGCCAAGATATTTATCAATTATTTATTATCTTTCTGTAGATACGCAATAAATATCACACATAATATAAAAAATCATAATACTGTATAGATATATTGAATACTTAAGGTAAGTAATTCGCCATAAACATTAGAATGTATTCTCGTTACATTATCACATAAAAAATTTTGATTATTATAGATTATGCTTATCACATAATCGTTATTTAAAAAATCAATCAAATGTAGAACTTACAATTTTAAGATCAAATGGGTAGTAGCCCTATCATAGTATAATTACTTCCGCTTTTACGTGCATGACAGCGCCATTACTTTATATCATATGTTATTTTCATCGTTTTTAGTAGATTCTACAGATTAAATGTGATTCACTAATATCGTTAAATAACTGTTTCTTTAACATTGAAAATGACTCGACTTTGGAACGCATAATTAGTTACTAGTCGTTTATGTCATTTATTATTTTAATGTTTTTTTTATAGAAGTTGTTAATGTTTTGTATCAATAATTATTAGGACTATAGATAAGAATTATCACTACAAAATGTTTGATAAATAATTTTAGAATCAATTTTCTAATAAGCCTTAGCGTAATAATTACTACAATTTTTGTTACATGTTTATTTTTTAGAAAAATTTATGAAAACTTCAAATGTCATTTTTATTGACAATTGTGTTGTAAAATAAAAATGATATACAACCAATGTTATTAAATATTCTATAGTTATTAACACGTGTAGTTTTATATAATCTCTATTAATTTTGTGATCATTTAATTGCATTAACCAATCAGCGAATCAGAAAAACGAATGATCTATTATAAATTCGTAAAAGGAACATATCTCAGTGTATTTCATTCGTCTAAAAACAACCAATAAAATTATAGCATTCTTAAAGAACTATAATGATTGGTGAACACTAAACGTATATATAAAAGCGAAAGAAAACATTGAAAATCGCAATCTTGTATTTTTCTTAAGATGGTTAAGATATATATATATATATTACTAAAATGATTCCTATCGATATAAAACATAAGATATAACGTACAATCAATATAAAATTATTTGATAATAAAATAGTAAATAAAGAGAAAATATATTTTATAATTAACGAAGGAGAAAAAAAATAAATGAAAAATCGTGATAAGTATAAAAGGAAAGAGAAAAATTAAAGGTGATTACACACATTGTTTCTTTACTCGACAAAGAGAGCTTTTTGAACACGGAAATCCGCCCTTCTTCCCCTCATCCCGCACCGTTCTTCCACTTACCCTGAAATCGCGCAGGATCCTTGCGCGCGAAATACGCGTACGCCGGTGTACGGACGTCGTGTGCTGTGCCTCGCTGTACATACCTGTGAATAGTGTATTTTAAGCCTTAGTTTTTAACGAAATCTGTTATAAGTGAAGAACGCACGCGATACGAAAGGGGAAACGGAAAATAGGTTAGAAGGAAAGAACAAATCAATCAAGTTTTCTTCGGAACGATTCTTGCATTTATGTATTTATATCGAAGGCTGACTGCTTCGCTATAGATCCTTTCCCGCCGAGGTAAAAATTAACATACACGCGCGTACGCGCGCACGCACACACACACACACACATACGCATATATACATACATACATACACACACATAGAGCATATACAAAAGAAAAAGAACAGAAAAAAAATAACGAATCAAGTCTTCGTATAACATAAAATATACAATAAATCATCTCATCCTCGTCTCTCTCTTCCTCTTTCTCCCTTCTATTATTTCGAGTTGGGATTAGCATTATTATATTCGATCACGGCGACGAATGGAGGATACGATTTTTATTTAACTTTTCTTTGGCCTTCTACCTCATCTTATCGTGTTTCCCCTTCGCTTTTCTCTCTCCTTCTCCCTTCACCCTCTCTCTCTTTTTCTTTCTCTGTTTTTTTCAAGTTTTAAGTAAATCGCCTTCCCAAGCGAAAAATTGTATAGTTTCAGATTAGTTTAGGAATTTTCCATCATCCTTCTGTCCTCTTTTTTCTCTCCTCTGCTTCTATCTTTTACTTTTCCTTCTGATCGACGAATTTTTTTCGTTTTGACCAAGCAGAGGTTATATTGCCGTCATCGTTGTCGTCACTGCTATTAACGATCATATTCGTTACCTGAAACTTTTCCCAGATAACTAAAGCTGAAGCCGCGTGTATTACACTTAGGTTCTCGCTTTTATATATCCCCTCTTTTCTCTTTTCCAATTCTCTATCTGGGCTGTTGTGTATTCTTCGTTGTTTGTGCGTGTGTATATTACGCGTTCTTGGTATTCACATATATATATATATATATATATATATAATATACATACATATATATATATCTATATATATATTCATACACAGAACAGCGCTTACGTTACGATACAATCTTTCTCTCTCGACTTCAATCGTTCGTGCATCGCGTCTCTGTCGATGTTGTCAAAAAATCCGGCAGTAAGCGCGCGCCACAAAAGAGCAGCAGCTGCCATTGCTGGCTGCGGTGGCTGGCGTTCGCTCGCGTTCAGCAAGCGATCGTAAATATATCGCCCTTGGAGTTGTTCCTTTCTTGTCGATCGTCCTCGTTGTATCATCGTCCGTGTTGCATAGTCGCTGTTGTTGTCATAGTTGTCTTTTTTGTCATCGTCATCATTATCGTCCTCGTCGTCGTAGTCGTAGTTATAGTCATCGACATCGTCATCGTTATTGTCGCCGTTGTCGTTGTTGTGGAAATGACAGGAAAGAGAAAGGGAGAGGGAGAGAGATAGAAAAAGAGAGATGTCACACATTTAACGCGCCACGCGTGGAACATGTTATTGCGGCAGAAACGTAGCGGACATTGAAGAGAGATCACCATCGTGCGTGGTTCGCCCAAACGCCGGTTCTTCGTTGCGGGCCTAACCTTTCGATTTACGGACGCTCGCTTGTGTGCATTTACTCGCTCGCTCATTCGTTCGCACGTTCGCTCGCTCGTTCGTTCGGTCGGTCGGTCGGTCGGTCGTACGTAAGTACGTACGTACGTACGTTCGTTCGTTCGTTCGTTCGTTCGTCCGTTCGTTGGCTCGCTCGCTCGCTCGCTCGCTCGCTCATTCGCTCGTCTTATACTATATCATTCGTACGGCGCGTGTGTGTGCCTGCGGAAGAACGGCTGCTGCGGGTTTGACAGGACGATGAAGTGGCTCGGTGCGAGCACCGCTGGCGCCGGCGGTGAACCGGCACCTTCAATACAACTGCATCATCCTTCAGCGAACGGTCACATACCCACGGTAAGAAAACAATTTTTTTCTCTTTGTTTCTATTATTTTCTCTTATTGCCCTTCTTCCTCTTTATTTCCTCTGTCTGACTGCCTATCTCTTTTTCTCTCTTTCTATCTCTTTCTCTCCCTTTCCTTCGACTCTTTATCTTTTTGCTCTCTCTCTCTCTTTCTCTGTGTCTGTGTCTCTCTCTCTTTCTTTTTTCTCTTTCTCTCTTTTTTACTTAACCTTCTTTATATTTAATGCCTTCTTCTGTTCCAATCAGAATAGGATAATGAAAACCCGAATCATTTTTCCGTAATTTTTTATTCATACAATTTATAAATATAAGCGGATTCAAATTAATGATCGATCGTTTGAGATGAGTGAGTCACTGTTGATACTTTGATTAACAAAGTTGTTAGTACATGGCATAGTATTAGATTATTGTTGTAATAATATAAAATTATATTAATTGTGTTCAAAATGGAAAGATGCAATATTGAAATGTTATATGGTTTCTAAATATATGACTAAATTAATGCATTAGATGAATAAGTAATTTGTATTCTTCAAGAAAGAATCATATATATATATATATGTATAAAAGCTTTTTTTGATAATTCTTTACTTAAGATATATTTTTGATTTATAACACAATAATAAATAAGAATTTTACAAATAAGTTTGGAGAAAATATATGTTCAGTAGTAATATCTTCAGTTTAAATTCTGCTATATTATGTATATATTTAATAAGTATCATTGTCATAACCGTGGTAATATTTATTGTTAAAAGGATGCAGAACAGTGTGGCCAAGCAATGGCTGGTGGTGATAGTATGCGAATACAACCTGGTCAGGCTCATCAGATTGGAGCTAGTAGAACTCAAGATGATGCGATGGTTGGATATGTATTTCAACGACCTACGGAACCAGAATTTAATGCACAATCTGCAAATTTCCAAACAAAACAAACTCCAAGAACATGGACGTTAGCGGACGATACTATTGTCGATAATGTAAGTAAATAATGAATGGTTTCGCTACAATGAAAAGTAAATAATAAAAAATATATAATGTTTGAAATTATTTCAGAATCAAGAGAAATGGAAATATCCCATGACTAAACTCAGTATACCACAACAAAGTCAACCACAACAATTGGGTTTACAAACAATGAATAACATACATTTACCATATGAGATTCATCCTATGCAGCTTAAGGTAATTACATTATGTATGATTAATAAATGTTATTAATTTTCTTATATGTTATTGGTGTAATTTTAATGAATTATTTATACGAATATTTATTAACTATTATATACATATATATATTTTATATATTTGTAGAGTGGAGCTCCTGGAGCAGAGCATTTGGTTTACCTTAACAATCAAATGACAGCCCAGCAGCAAGTTGCACTTTTTCACCATCAACAACAGCAACAGCAGCAGCAATTCAGAAATGGACAGGTGAGTACATTGTAGCGATAAAAATTAATCTTATATAAATCATTATATCATAATGGTTAAGAGAAATCTAATTTTATAGAAGTCTAGATAAAGTTTAATTTTAATATATATTTTTAATTCACGAATACTCTATAGTGCAAACCAATTAAGGTATAATAATTTAATTAAAGTTATAATTTAGCGAAAACGGCTATAATTAATATTGTTTATTGATTTATTATATATTTATCATAAATTATACAAATTTCGTCTTTATCATACTTTATAGATGTTATTTTATTATATTACACATAAATTAATTTGAACTCTTCAACTTATGCATGAATTCATATATCATTTGACATGGTATCATGATTTATTTGCACCATTAAATATATATATATAATTATTTTCTACAATTATTTACTTTCATTGAGAGCGTGTATTTAAATGCACTATTTTCATATTCTTGAAATTACTGATCTATTACAAATATATTATTATGGTTAATATTATAAACTGATAATATTGTTTTTATAGTCCTAATATTGAGCAATCTGGCAATAGATAACATATTTATAATCAATTGTAAACAATACTCTTAATTTTGAAATTGAAGAATTCTTGTAAGAATGTCTATCATGAATAATTCGAAGATTAAAAATTTTAAGTATATTCAACCATAAATGAATCGATTTAGGTTATGGTTGACATAGCTTGTCATGGACAGGGCAAATCTTGCGGAAATCGTGTCAAGGTTAAAATTCAGTCATTGGTTGTCTATACTTCAAAAAGTGACTATGATAAATATTATCTGCTTAAGCAAAAATTATTATCGCTTAAGCAAGAATTCGATCGCATTCTCAAATTTCAACTATCAATTCGTATTTCGCGCGCCATTTTTCGTTAAAAAAAGACAGAATGCTTAATTTTTGGCGGTTTCTTGATCATACGATTGTGGAAATTCGTGGGTACAAAAGTCTTTGATAAGAAAATAATTACGTTTAAACATTAAACATCATTTTAATATTGCCGATGAAAAACTTATTACGTTTGTCAATATAAAATATAAGACATCTTTTATAATTTTGTTTAATCGTTTTACCGTGAATATCATGTTGAAACGATTATTATTTCAATATTGTAACTTAGGCCATTTCTTTTTCTTTTAATGTTATAGAATACGATAAATCCGTCATATTTCGTTGCAACAATATCAATAATCTTACTATGCATTAACGAGCGTATATCCTTGAATTTGCATTTCGCATTTTTTTTTTTCGAAAAAAAAAAAAAAAAAAAAAAAAAAAAAAAGAAAGAAAGAAAGAAAAAAAATAAACTCGGACTAACGAGTCCGAGTTTGTCCACGCGGTCAAACTTTCTTGGATTTGCCATGAGAGGGCACGTGAGGTTCAAAAGAATGGCATAACGAATCTGTTTGGATGAAGGATAGGCGCGAATTTTCTTGAAAATTCGTTGATTGGTCAAAGCGAGTAGTCGCGCGTGGTACTCGCAAATAGTGGGGTGAAGAAAGAGATATTGTCGTTTACCGTCAACGCCAGAGAGCGCTGCGGTCGCGCGTCGTTCTTTGTTTCATTTAGACGATCAGTTCGTCTCGTCCAGTAGCGCAGAGAGGCCGGTCGAACAAGAAAATTTCGAGAAAACGAGGGGTGTCAAAGCTATTCTTAATAGTTCTAACGGCGCCGAACGTTACCCCGACGCTCAAAAGACGACGCGCATTCTCGGCGACATGCTAGGACGGACGTGAAGCTGTTCAGTAAACTCGTTGCGATCGATTCGCAAATCATATCCCTGGAAATAAAACGCGTATTCGCGTAGTGTAAAATAGTGTGCAAAGTGTGCGAGAGGAGAAAGGCATTGGAGGTGAACAAGAAAAAAAGGAATAGAAAGAAGAAAGTGCCGGAGGTGGAGGAAGAGGAGGAGGAAGAAGAAGAAGAAGAAGAAGAAGAAGAAGAAGAAGAAAAGAAAGTTGCGGTGGCGGTGGTGTAGAACGAAGAAGACGAGGAAGAACGAGCGCGGAACTACGTTTAGATAGCGGCGGTAGCATCGGTATACCGAAGGTGTCGAATCGTTGAACGGGCGGACCCAAGGATTCGCTGTCTCTCGCTCCTGTCTCTTTCCCCCCTTCCTTCTGTCTTTCTCTCTCTCTCTCTCCCTCCGTGTGTGTATGTGCGCGCGCGCGTGTGTGTATGTGTGTGATGTGAGAGAGAGAGTGCGCGCGTGTGTGTCTTTTTCTCGTACCGTTTCACGTCACTAAGTCGCTCATCGGCTGGCTTGCCGGTGTCGAAGAGATACAGAACGTGCTTGTTCTCGTCCTTGTTTGTTCTTGTCCTCGAGGAAGGAAGAGAAAAAGGAAACGTACGAAACGGAAGAGAAAAGGAAGGAAGAAAGAGAAGAAAAGCAGTGCTGCAGGATAGAAGGTGGCGTAGTGCGAGTTGGATCAGCCGGCATCATCCACCCTTTCTCGTTCTCTCTTCGTAAAAGTTATTGGACGCAACGGGAGGGGGGCCGCCCTTTTACGCTAGAGTCTTCGTTTCTCGCGCGTGCTACGGAACCTCCAGCGTCTCCACCATCACCTGCTTCTTCTCTTCCTCCTCCTCCCCCTCCCCTTCCATCATCACCTCCTCCTATTCCTCATCCACCTCCTCCTCCACCACCACCACTACTACCACCACCACCTTCATCACTTCGTCTCGTCTCGAAAAAATATATCCTTCCTTCTTCTCCCTCCTTCCCCTCTCTCCCATCGATCGAGCAGTGCATGTGAGAGAGTGCGCCGCGTCGAGTTTCTTCTCGTCCGGCGCGCGTTTGTTTGTGCTACAACGAAACGGGGTTAACGGCGAATCCAACGACGACGGCGGTGGTAGTGACGACGCAACGAGTTCTGCTTACGTCGGAGACGGTGGAGAGTTTCGGAGTAGGATACGGCCAGGGTGCAGGCACAAGCACAGGCGACTGGATGAAACCACCGGGGGATCTCTTTCTTTACTGCGACATGAAGGATCTGGGAGCCGATATGGTATTTACATCCAACGACGATGTGATCTCTTATCCTTTTTCTTTATTCCTCCCCTTTCCCTCTTCCCCGCTCTCTCATTCTCTTTTTCTCTGCTCTTATCAATCGTATTTGTATTCGTATTCGTAATGAAAAGGAGGAAACGTCAAAATGCTTATCGCCAAGACGCGTCCACGAGTAGTAGTAGTAGCTGCGTTCTTTTTTTTTTTTAGGTTATGGTCGTTCTAGTCGCAGTGCCATGTCGCACGGCGCATGGAAGTGTCGAAACACGCGCTCTTCGCCAATTCTCATCGGTCTTTTCTTTCTTTCTTTCTTTATTTTCGCTTTTTTTCTTTCCTTTTTCTTTTTTTTTCTTTTTTTCTTTTTTTTTTTTTTTTTTTTACATTTGCGTCGCGATTATCTATCCTCCACCAAATCTGCCTTTTTAACTTTGTTTACATTCCTTTTTTTCCCTTTTCCGTTTCGTTCCCTCTGAGAAAAGAATAAACACGCGACTCAACAAATGTTTATCTTTTTATTTTTTTTATGTATAGTAAACACCCGAAATAAAAGTATCGAGGATTAAAATTCACGATAATAATAAAAACTACCGAGTTTAAATTATGTTTTCGTCCATCTTCGTACTATCGACTTTTCTAGGGTTTTAAAGATTTTAGTTTTTTTTTTCTTTTTTTTTTTTTTCCCATATGTACTTTCGAACGGAACGAATTTATGTGTACATTGTGATTAGAATCTATGTAAATATAGATTATATCGAAAGAACTATGTCCAAAGTTTAATTCATTTGTATTCGGTAAAAGCAATTATTATGATTTTACTGATTATTATGCTGATCGCTCGATTTATTTATTTATTTATTTATCTATTTATTTATTTATTTACTCAATATAAAATTTAATGTAATACAAAACTTAATATAATGCATACAAATATAAAGTCTTCAATTTAATATACAATTTGTTATAAAATTAATTAATACACATTTTATGTAGGTTTAAATTAATTTTTCTTCATAGATATATATATATATATATAGATATATATATATATATATATATATATATATATATATATATAATTATATTCTTTAAAACCTTTTTCATATCTTCAATGCATCGTTTGAAAAGAATTCCTTTTAAACATCATTAATATTTAATGAAATTAATTAAGCTATTAAGGTACGCGTGATAGAAAAAAATGAAAGTTACTTTTTTTTTTTATATAGCATTTATAATTATTATCACTACTGATATATAATTTCTCTTAAAGTAAACAAGTTTCTATATTTTTCTTTTATTCTTTGATTTTTCTTTTTTTTAATATGTAAAATGTAATTTGCTAAAAGAAGAAACAGTTAAAATTTATTTCCAATCAAAATAAATTGAGCAGTGCAGATAATTATAATAGGGAATCAAACAAATCTGTCATTTTCTGTTTCTTATCTGTTACATCCTTTTCTTATTTATTGTTTACCTTTCTTTTGAATCAAATATTTTTCACAAATGAACATTACATTCTCTATTTTACATAAAGCTAGACATTTAAATCAACGAAAGGAAAATATAATATTTTATTTTCTAATATTTACATATCATTTAATATAATTTCTATTATATAATGTGTATATATATTAGTTATATATTTTCATTTAGTTTAGTTATATATATATGCATATATAATAATAAGAGAATATATATATATATTCTACATATATAATAGAGTAATATATATATATAACTAAATAAAAATGTTTTTGTTTTCTATTACACGAATACATAATAATTAAGTTTACATGAGAAAATTAGCAAATTTTTGATTGATTTTTATCCTATTTAAATCATACTTTAATGCTTAAATACATAGTTTTGTTTCTATGAAATTCTTTTGGATCAGCATTCATTCTATTTGTTATTATTTCGTTTGTATACTCACATCTTTATAATATGTACGATTTGTAATTTGTATAATTTTTATATCTGGTTTTTGTCACTAAAAAAGAAAAAAAAAGAAAAGAAAAAATAGAAAAAGATGTAAGAGAAGGGAAGAGAAAGAAAAATCGTGTTCTTCGAATAATTTACGTAAAATTTACATAAACAATCGAAAAGTTTAATCGAATTCTTTTGTAATGTTATCAATATCCAAAGTATCCAAAGTATCCAAAGTATCCAAAGTATCTCGTTTTCATGTAAGTTTCTCAATCAGCAAATGAGATTTATATCGTTTAAACTGAATTCTTAGAAATAGATCATTCAAAAAAGGATTAGTATCGTAAACGAGTATTAACATTTCATAATATTGATTTGATTTCATAATATTGAAATAAATATTAAAAAATTCATATTTATAAGAAAAAGTAAGAAAGAAAAACAAAGAAGAAGAAGAAGAATATATAGTACGTATTATCGAGCCGTGTATAACAATAAATAATATATGACGTCATTTTATTTGTCGTTGATTTCCTAGAGTTGTGAGAAGTGATACATGCAGGTGTGACGTACACGTGTCGTTGAACCTAAACGCATCGGTCACGTTCCGTAGCCTATCACTGAATGTGTATGACAAGGACATCAGCGTGCTCGTTGTTATCATAGTAATTCTTACTTGTCGAACACTATGACGTCAAAATTCACATAATCTTAAATGTTCATTTCCAATTATCATTATCGTCATCATCGTCATCTATAAGAGATACATACATATCGATGTGAATTAGATTTTTTACTACTTATAAATTTGACCAATAATAAGATCTTTAATGTATATCAACGAGACTATTGATCATAAAATAATTTCGATGAATTCATAAAATATACATACATTAGATTAGGCTAATAAAAATTTCAAAAGCTACAAAATCGAGTGATGCGAATCTCTTTAAACGAGATTCTGGATAATGTAAACATAAGTATCAATATAATTGAGATTCCTTTTCCAGACTTATATACCATTTCCATTAGAAGTTTTCTTACTTTCAAAATGAATATTACTAATCATTTTCATAATGAATTTCATCAAGGTGTATGCATATGTAAAAAAAAAAAGGAAAAAAACGAGCTTTCTTTTTTATTATTACTAATATCGATGGAAAGAGATATAGAATGTTTAGACATTTATAGTCAATGCGCAATAGATAAAAAAAGGGAGAGAAAGAAAGAAAGAAAGAGATGGAGGGAATTTGCTTCCTTCGTGTGGTTGCTCCTCCAACGCGCGGACAGTGGCCGTGACCCGTGGCCGGGGGCCTGGGGAGGGGTCGGTGGCCCCGTAGCTGTTTAGCGACGTCCACGCTGCGCGTCGGAAGACCGACCGCCTGTGGTCGCGGTGGTGGGAGTAGACGGCTAGGCGCGTAGTGGTGGGGGTACCCGACGTTTCTCTCTCTCTCTCTTTCTCTCTAGTGGGTGGACGCGCCTGGCAGGGAAGCAGTCGCACGGAGGGTGCGGGTCCTAGCGCCCCGTCCTCCTTCGACGCGAACGGTAGCGCGACGGAGAAACGATTTCAAGGGAGGAGGAGGAGGATATTGCCGTCATTCTCTTTCTCTTGTCTCTCTCTCTCTCTCTCTCTCTCTCTCTCTTTCTCTCTCTCTCTCTCTCTCTCTCTCTCTCTCTCTCTCTCTCTCTCTCTCTCTCTCTCTCTCTCATACGCCGCGATGTGGAAAGCGTCTCCACCGGCCGGCGTCGCGGTCGATACTCGCGGCATATCATCCCCGGCTGACCGAGCCTTACCCTTACTCTCTTCTCCTTACTTTAGATTATATTCACAAGTTTTGATCGATGTGAAACGTTTCGTCGAAACCGTTCGATCTCTCTCTTTCTCTCTCTCTCTCTCTCTATATATATATATATATATATATATATATATATATATATATATATATATATATATATATATTTCTATCTATCTATCTCTTTCTTTCTCTTTCTTCTCCCTTTATTTCTTTCGTTTTGTCTGCGCCGAATGAAAACGTTCTTTTTAAATTCAGATCACGTATCACAGATTTTTCTCTTTTGAATATCGGGATAGGTTTTTCGAACGTTGAATTACAACGAACTGCACTTTTTTCTTGTTTTTTTTTTTTTTTTTTTTTTTTTTTTTTCCTGTTTTATTTTCCCTCTTATTTACCAACGGTATCCTCACAACATCGGTCCCTTATCGTTTGATTTAACGATATACTTAACGAAGTCACAGATTCGTTTCGTCGTTTTCGAGATGAATTGATTGACAAATAGGAGGATTTGATAAAAATCGAACGAGTTATGCGGCTTTGTAAACCGGTTAGAATCCCACAGGAAAAATGATCGATCAAAAGGGACGAGATATGGGCTCCTATCGCGTACAACAAACATGAACCAAGCTGGACTATCTCTTTTCGGCTTTTGCATTAGACGTTTTGTTTTATACTTTTTTTTCTTTTTTCCATAATATTAATATTCATGATAGTAAAATGAATTTTTTTTTAAGTTCACGATTAATATGTTTAAAACAATATTTATAGTTAACGAACAAAATCTGATTAGCATCTTGGATATGATTTTTCATTTAGATGTGACTTTTTCGTCCAGTTTTTTTTTTTTTTTTTTTTCCTGTTCACATAAAGTTATTCTTAAAGTTATTGTTTAACAGTATATTGTAAGGTGTACTATACAAAAGTCCAGTAATCTTTATTATTATAATTAGTATATGAAGGTATTATTTTTAATAAAAGTTTTTTTTTTTTTTATGTATGAAAGCACGTGTTCATAGCTGTACATTCGTTCGTTCGAACTATATTACATTGAACTATCACGTACATACCTATGTATGTACATATGTATATATACTATCCATGTTATATATCGTAACATTGTCACAGCATACACGTATCGGGATACACCTGTATACAGAATTCCGAGATCCTCGTGCGTCTTTCCGTGCTTCTCTTCTCCTCGATTCTCTTTTTACCGCGTTCTATTACGTCATGGATCTTAAGTTGCGCGAGGTTAGGATCTGTGCGGTGCAACGGCCCCTCGACGAGGAACTATAGTTGAGTCCCGAATGGAATCTCTGTATTTTTTCGTGTTACTACCTAGAACAGGTGCGATTTATATGAATATACGATGATTAAATTAATGTTATATTCAATCAGTTTTGTGTTATTGAAACTGCATTTTCAAAAAAAGAAAAATGTGTATATATGTATTTATATATTTATATATTTACATATAAAATAAAAAGGAACATATGTAAAATGTAAACAAGTATTGATCTAGTAGTTTTCATCAATTTATTTATATGCATCAATTTTGAATTTGTACAATCTTTGACCTCTCTCTTGAGGATCTTATATAACTTCCTTTTTCTTGTTTTAGATCGCTCCCTCGGCAAAAAAGCTCTGGGGTGTGGACGAAGGCGGCTCCAAGGACGAGGGTGGTGTAAAAGGTGGTGGGATACTTCACCTGGGAGACCACCAAATGTGGCGAGATTCTACTTGGAGCACCTCAGGTAATTCATCCATAATTTTCATATTTTCATTTGTTGCATTTTAAATGATCGATCTTGTCGATTTGGATTATATCAAGTATTAATTTTAATTTTAATATCTCCATTCGTTAAATTTTAAATGATCCGATTTTGTCAATTTGGGGGACCATATTAAATATTAATTCTAATTTTAATACCTTCATTTGTTGTTACATTTCAAATGATTTCATTCTATACTGTGTGTCGACTTGTGTTGGACCACCTCAAATATTCATTGAAATTTCGCTATCTTCATTCGTTACCCCATCTTAAATGATATTTCCTGTCGATCTTATCCTTGTTATTCCTTTGATACTTATCTCACTAAAACGTCAATGTGCTTATGTGCATTTAAAAATATTAATTTATGTATTTGATCGATCGATAATTATAATCGATCCCATGATCGATTGGCGTCGAGTTTAAATAAGATTGATGTTTATTTAGCGACGATATACCTTTAAAAAGCATATGGGTATATGAAAAATGAGTTTGATTATTGATTGCAAAATCTATGATTAAAATTAATAGAGCCTTTCCCTTTCTCAGGATTGGTTGGTTTCACTTTCGTTACATTTTACGACAAGAAATAATTTCACTATATTGTTGGCGTCCTTTCTAACTCTACTAAGACACCTGATGAAGAATAAGACGGGCGCGCTTCTCGGTACCGTTGGCACGTTGGGGCGCGCGAGAGTGGCAGCGTGTTGCGAAACTGAACACTTGATTCCGCGACTTGAACGTGCACATGCGAGACGGTCCTGCGTGTGCGCCGCCTCCTCACGAGGATGGGTGCAACGCGGCTGTTGCTATGGCGACAGACGCCCGGCATCGGCATCGAGGGCGGCGGTATAGGGGCAATGTCCCAACAACGCCAGGGACGTGCCTACCGATCCACCCTATGAGAATCTTCAACCCTCTCCCACCTTTTTCATTTTTTTATATTTTTTTTTAAACCCTTTCGAATCTCCCTTCGATCAACGAACATTCCATTGTTAGGGGAAGAAGAGTTTTGCTAATTTTTTATATCATATCAAATCAATTCCCCGAATCATCGAAATCGTTTTACTCAGCCATTTCTTATAGGTTCTAATTTATATATGCTTTTTAAGATTACAAAGTTATGTCCTTTAAAATTTTTTATTGTCGTTGTTGAATACAAATTGTTTTTAAACAAGAAATGTAATAATTTTTGTATATATCAATATATAATCTTTTTAATCTCCTTTTGTTTTTTATTTTGACTTCTAAATTTTCTAGATCATGCAGTGTCACAACCAATATCGATGGGTACGGGTAGACGTGTGGGTGTTGGGACCGGATATCATCATCAAACTTCAGAAGTTGGGACAGTTCTTAGTCCTAGAAGCAGGTTGGTCAAATGTTACGAGATTTAATGATAATATAGAATATTTAATTATCATTGAACTTTAATTATGATATAATCTCTGATATTTCAAAAACTCTATTATATTAGACTATGTTTATTTATTTATTCATTTTTTTTATTTTCTTATTTTTTTATTTTCTTATTTTTTTATTTTTTTAGTGAAACGGGTGGATTGGGAGTTAAAATGGTTGAATATGTTCTTGGTTCAAGTCCCACAACACCAAAAGATTTAGAACCTCGAATGGTATCTCTTAGATTGGTAAGCTTGGCAAATGATGATAAAGTCTTTAGTTTATTTTAAAATAAAAAATATACATCTATATATATATATATATATATATATATATATATATATATAGATATGATAATAATAAATTTATATATGTATATATATTTATACTTATACATATTTTGTATTCAATGTAGAATACGGACACAGATAAAAAGGAAAAAGACAAAGGATCTGCTAGTCCTTTTGATAGTTCGAAGGATGATACTGGTCCACAAGGAAATGGATTAGCATCACAGAATGGTCTCGATGATGATAAAGGTTTCAAGTGAGTATTGAACGATGGAAATGAAAAGAAACTTTCGTAGGGTGTACTCGGCTTTTCATTGATTTCATTGATTTCATTTGAAAGTCACTGAAGTATTTAGAATGCAGGAACTTTTCTCCCTGGAATACTTTCATAATTCTATAGAAAGAAATAAGTGTAAAAATGAATGAATGAATATCAACGATATTGAGATATATTGATACGTGAACTGAAGGAACGTACAGTAAAATTAAAACTGTTAATAATGTACGAATAGCCTTGATTATATAACTATTTTTACGTGTCACATACTTGGGAAGATTTATCAGTTTTGCCGGACGCGCCAAGAAAGAAGAGAGTGTTATAACGGGTACTTGTCAAGGGCGTGGAAATTGGAAGCTTTGCGCTTGTTTGTGCTGCTTCTGCCTGCCTGCTTGTTTGGGGGGGTTGCACGCGGTCGACAGTATCGTGCGCGCACGTGTTTTCTATCGTTGTCTCTTTTCGTTAGGTAGCGCCATCTGCGACGGCGGGGTCAGTACTCCTTTAAAAAAAACATTACCGACATTTCCGTACGATAAGTTTTCTTCTTTTCAGTCGATACGTAAGCTTACGAGTATTTCGATCGATTAAGAATCTTTAAATCCCTCGTAATTCTCGTATTCTTTTATAATACATATTTAATATTATTCTATTCGTTTTTATTTAATAATTTATGTATAGAATATTTTATTAATTTAGTCATTTACTTGTCAATTAATTATTACAAGATGATGACGAACTTTGTAATTACGTTCTGTCATTTGCTTTGCAATTATTCTAAATGTACCGTTATTTGTAGAGAATAATTTTACAAGTACGATGGAATATTTTAAAACTGATTATATTTTAACGTGAAATTAAAATTCAAAGGCTCGGTCATGCGAGAACAACTACATTGTAATCTTTGTTTTTATTTCTTGTTTTTTGCTATTCTTTCTTTCTTCTTCTTCTTTTTCTTCTTTCTCTTCTTATCTTTTTTAAGAATGGAATCTTGTACTCGATAAAAAACATGCTTAATTATTCTTATCATAAATAACAGAGCGTTTATGGAAATGGTACTTTGTTTCTTGCGCATTATTAATTATAAAGCTACATTTCCTTCTTTTTTCTTTTTTCTTTTTTCTTTTTTCTTTTTTCTTTCTTTTCTTCCTTTCTCTCTCTCTCTCTCTCTCTTTTTATTTTTTTTTTTTTTTTTTTTTGTAGAAAAATATGTTACACGTGTCACAAGCAACAATGCGGTCCCTGACATTTACCACGATGGGTTTCTTAGTATCTGGAGAAACTACGTCATTCTCTTTTTATAGAAAATACATGGTCTTCTATCGTATATTTCTTATTTTAATGATACGATCGATGATTATTTTAATGAATCCACATTAAAATAAAAGTCGTTATCTTATTTACAAATTAATGAATTATATTGTATGTTAATTAATCAAACATTTTTTTTTTTCAATCAAACTGATCATTGTATAATTTTCTTCGTTTTTTATTTATTTATTTATTTATTTTTCTTTGTTTTTTTTTTTCAGTCGTACACCAGGTAGTCGTCAACCATCCCCGGGTGAAGAAGAATTTCAAAAAAATGCTGCAGCAACGTTAGCAGTGAGCGCCGGCGGTGGTGGTGTAGTTTTGTTAAAACCAGGTGTCGATGTTGTTGGAAGCGAGGAACATTTTATGGCAGCGTTTGCTCCTGCACCACCACATCATCTTCAACATCATCAGGCACCACCTACGCATCATCTGCAGCATCCTCATTCTCACGCGGCACAACTTTTTGGGGCGCAGGCGCCACCACCCCCGCAAGCTCCACCACCCTCTCAGCAACAACAACAACAGCAAGGCCCTCCTCAACCACAAGACACTACAACTCATTTTGATGTACAGGTAAGTGTCTAATTTATATCTATTTATTTCTTCATTTTTCTTTATAATTTGTATAGATATTTTATTTTATTCTCTATCATTGGATAGAACGTCTGCAAATATGCTGTGTGTGATTATTTATGCAACGTTGTCAATAATCGAAAAGAAGAATTTTATTGGAACGTTTACCTATGTCGATGTGAATTTTAATTCACACGATATAAAAATGATGTGTGCTGCTTAGAAAGTAACGAATATTGTTTGAAATTTCAACAATAATTATTACGATATCTATGTGGAAAAAGAGGGAAGTGATTAAATTGTATAGTTTTATCAAATTCTAACGATAAAATGTTAGAAATGTCTATCATGTTTTACATACAAACATCGTTATTGTATGAACGAAAAAAGAAAGAAAGAAATTGTCTTGATCTTATATACCAAGAACATATATATATATATATGTATATATTGGGGTCTTGGCATTTATAGTTAACGCAATTACTTACTTACCCCTTATTATTTTTCACGATGAAATATTCCTGCGATTATTATCGTACATATGGCAATTAATCGCACGAATTTATGATTATTATGATAATACTATTAGAAACGTATAAACCGTGATTAACATTACGACAATAGTTTCGTAGCAAGTGCGCGTTAGTTAGCAGCGTCATTGTCAAAGAGAAATATAATTAGACGATTTATGCGTACTTTAAGAATGGAAAAGAAAGATATACATAACATAAATATTATGCGTTGGCAAATGCGTTTGAAAATCTTCTCCTTTCTTTCTTTTGTCCTCGTCCTTTTGAGTAATAGACATAAACTACAATGAACGTGGTGATTAACTTTATCTCTTTCTATTTCTTTATTTCTCTCTCTCTCTCTCTCTCTCTCTCTCTCTCTCTCTCTCTCTCTCTCTCTCTCTCTCTTTCTTTTGAACAGAGAAAAATCACATCTAATTAAATATTTCCTTGGAGAGATAAGTCTGTAAGTTTCCTTTCGACACGAGCGAAATAAGCGATATCAAAGATATTTGCATATACCGGATGAATTCGTACGACAAAGGAATTTAGGAGCGGGTGAGAGGGAGCTACGGAGGGAAGGAGAACGAAGAACGACCTTGTCCTGCGGCGCAGACAAACGTATAAATCATAGAGTGACAGTCTCTCGACGTCTACTTCCAAACCCATTCGGAAAATAGAACGGTCGATATATGTCTAACCACTTTGTCGACATTCACACGGGTTCATAGGCAACGTACATATATATATATATAGAATACATTCTTACTCATCTCTTACGAGTTACCAAATTGTTCACATGTATGCATGTATATATAATATCGACAAATGCTTCTCTCCGTTCGCTAGATTCTACGAAACATGAATCGCAAATCGTCTGAACGTCACTTTTTTTTTTATATATATACACACACACATGTATATATATATATATGTATATATAAAAAGCTTCATTGTAATCTTTTCTGTCGCAATCGTATGATAGACGATTGAAAATTTCTTGCTCTACTACGATTAGACGCGCTTTCCTTTCAAGAACAGCTGTACGAAAGAAAAGAATGAGATCCTTACATTCCTATCAGCGACGTAATATCTCTCTCTCTATCTCTTTCTCTCTTTCTCTCTGTCTTTATCTCTGTCTCTGTCTCTCGCACATGCGCGCTCTTGGTGAAAACGAGGCTTTAGAACCCTTCCGGCACGAACCACGTGAGGAAGGATTAGTCCGGATAGGACGGCAGAAAGAGTAGCGGGGAACGAATAAATCGAGGTCGATTCAAGTTTTCTCGCGGAACCTTGAAGCTTTCGAAGAGCGAAAGTCGACAGATTCTGAGAAACATCCTGCTTGGACCACTTTGATATATTCTCCTTGACAAATCCACCAGTTCTTCTACTTCTTCTTTTTCTTCTTCTTCTTTTTTTTTTTTCTTCTTTCAACGTTTTTAACGTGGTCAAACTGCTTTCCTATTTCTTCGATTTATATGGTTTTTGATTAAAATACGATTCCCTTATCTACGTCTTTCATTTAACTTCATCAAATCTTATCTTGTTTTTTAGACATATTTTTAGTTGATCACATCTTTATACCTTTTTATTTTTTTATTTTTTTTTTGTTTTTCTTTTTTGTTAATATATCATTTAGCCACTGCATAGAATTTTATTCAATATATGATATTTTAATAACGAATTGGTAATCGAATACATTCGCAAAAATGTTATAAGAGTATTTAATGAAAGTATAGAGAAATCTGTACTACTGATACATGATTGATGGTGATGGTGATAATGGGAAGGGGGGTTAAGTGATATCTATAATAATATATAGAGTGAATCAGTAATTACTCACTGATCTCAAAAAGAAAAAAGGAAAAGAACTCCATTTCGTATACTAAAATTATTTGAACACGGACTTATTTTTTTTATTTTATTTTATTTTATTTTATATCATTTTTTTTCTCATTTAAAACTTCTTGTCTGTTCGTTATACCCAACATTTTTTTTAAAATAGCTTGTTTTTTTTTTCCTTCTTATAAGATCGTCAAATAAAATACATAGCCCCATGGATATTTGAAATGACAGTATTAATTGTTGGATCATTCTGCATAAACATAAAAAAACATTATCTGCGAACGAAATGCCTTGAGATCCTGCTAAAAATGTCAAATAGCCAATAAATTCGTTCGTTGGAATTTATAGCTGCTTTTTTCTTTATTTATTCCTTTCTTTTTTATTTTTTTATTTTTATTTTTACCCATCTCTCGAAATCGTATTACATCATTCATTAATTAATTAAAGATAATCCTTGAATGAAAGACATTTTTAATAATGTGCAATTTCGCATGCCTTCTCTCTCTCTCTCTCTCTCTCTCTCTCTCTCTCACTCTCTCTCTCTCTCTCTGGGTTTTCTTTCTCTTTCTCTATCTCTTTCTTTTTCTTTCACGTATATGTCATCCCTGAAATTACCACCACAACCGTCCTGAAGATCGTCACGAAGAGATTTAGCAAGCGCATAGTCGGTTAATATCGTTCTAAGGAAGGAAGCACGCTTGAATTTTCCACGTGGCTCGCGATACGCACAGGTGCTGCAGCTAACATTCTCTATCCTTCTTTCTCTTCCTCCTCCTCCACCACTTCCATCTCTTCCTCCTCCTTCTCCTTCTCTTTTCTCTTTCTCCCTCTTACCTTTCTCACCGCTTTTTGCTCTTTTTCGTTCTCATCGTACGCTCGGATGAAATCGCAGAAAATCACTTTTAGCGAAGGGGAGATCGTGAAAAAAAAGAGAGAGAGAGAGAGAAAAAAAAAAGAAATGTTTAACTGCGTTTAACTCACGTTTTGAAAAGTCTGCGTTAGATGAAGGTCATCTACTTTCGAAGATCTCTCCTTCAGGTTCTTTTTTGTTTTTTTTTTTCCTCGATGTTATGGCATCGAGTAACGTTATGTCAATGAGAATCTCACGAGATATCGACCTTCCGTTTACATTCTCTTTCTCTTTCTCTCCCTTTCTCTCTCTCTCTCTCTCTCTCTCTCTCTCTCTCTCTCTCTCTTTCTCTCTCTCTCTCTCTCTCCATCTATTCCTACCTCCCATTTCTCTCCCTTTCTCTTTCTCCTTTCCCATTTATTCTCTAGCTTTTTTTTTCAAGTCTTGCACTTGGTGGCTGCTGGTGCACGTTGCTTCGATATGTGCTTACATAAAAATAGAACTCCGAACAGAGAGAAAGAGAAGCGAGAGAGGAAGAGAGAGGAAGAAAGAGAGAGAGAGAGAGAGAGAGAGAGAGAGAGAGAGAGCGCATTATGTCGGGATTTATGCAAGAACGTGCATGCGCTTGTTTGCTACTCTCTCTCTCTCTCTCTCTCTCTCTCTCTCTCTCTCTCTCTCTCTCTCTCTCTCTCTCAATCTCTGTATGTGTGTGTTTTTGTGAGTAGAGGGAAGTTGTGCTAGTAGGAAAAGTGCGTGGACGCATGAGACGAGTCGTTCTCTGATCGTGTTATTACGCGAAGGCTCGTGCTTAGCAGTGCATGAAGCGATTCCCAGACCTCGTTTCCTCTCTCTCTCCCCACTCTTTTACACCACCCTCTCTTTCCTCTCTCCCCTCTCTCTCTCTCTCTCTCCTCTCTCTCTCTCTCTCTCTCTTTGTCTCTGTCTTTCTGTCTATATTCTTCTCCTTCTTTCTCTTCTTGGACGCAAAAAGAACGACAAAGTCGACGAAGGCAAAAGATGGATAGATAGATGAGAGAAAAAGAGAATGAGAGAGAGAGAGAGAGAGAGAGAGAGAGAGAGAGAGAGAGAGAGAGAGAGAGTCGAAGAAGACACTGTTAAAGGTGTAGACTTATACACTGGCGCACATTTAGAAGGGATCGGGTTGTTGACTCACTGCCCATTCAGCATAAAGTGCAACGACTTCCTCCGATGAAAATCTGTATCATCGCCCGAAGGCGCGCACATCTTTTTTCTCAGCTGGTGCGCCGGGGATTCCGAGTGATTTTCAACGAAGTCGTCTCGGTCAGAGATTCCACATTTTCACCTTGATTATTCGTCTTCGTCTGTTTTTTTTTTTACTCCTCCGAATTTTTCCCTTCTCTCTCTCTCTTTCTCTCTTTTTTTTCTTTTTCGCTAACCTCCTCATCATCCTCACCCTCACCCCCCCTCTCTCTCTCTCTCTCTCTCCTTCCAAAGATCTAGATTCTTTGGCAGCACTCTTCTAAAATTTTTTCTTCCGATATCTCCGATTCGACGTTCGTGTGAAAAAATTTCTTCGACGCGAGTAAAGAAATAATTTCCTTTGTAGATCTTTATTGATCGTAAAAACGTTCGAAGAGCTAATCAAATTTATACTACGTTCCTTTTGATATATCCCAATCGACTTTACGACGAATTCGGTTGCTAACTCTAGAAACATACCGAAGAGATATGATGATGGTATATGAGGCCAAAAGCTTGTCAGTCATTCTAAGATATTTTTGGTATGTCTTTACATAATCGTCGTTATGTACGCA